GAATAAACGGGTATTTTGTTAACGAACTTGGATTGGTGTGCGTTTCTTCCGACAATTTTCCACTCCATACTGAACCCGAAGTCCTCGACGAGATCGCTCGTGATAATTCCCCATCCATCCGCGTATCTATCCGCGATAAATTGATAGATTGGTGTCAGATCCTGACAGGTGAAAGAATCTAACGATCCTTTCTCCTAACCCTTTTTTCCCATCCTTTAGACAAGCGAGACCGGACCTCAAGGTCTTGAATCGAGTAAGTGGTAGGAGAGGGACATCCTCGTAAACATCCTACCCCCGATTAGTCTCACAATCGTTTATGTTGTATTTCATTTTAACTTTTGTGTATTATTTAAGTTATTATTTTATTATGAAACAAAAACGAATAGAAATATTTTTCTTTGTATTAAAATAAACTGGCAACTATGTTGAGAGATGTTAGTTTTGGTTTCGGTTTTGACTACTTGAATTTGGAATTTCCAGGAGCAGACGAATACGCGATATTAAGTAAGTGATTTACTTAAAAACAATCCTTTCACTTATTCATTTTGTGGTAAGGTTGCAAGTGTGAATGGCATTGTTGGGAGCTTAACAAAGGTGTAGGGCAGGGGTCCCCAACCTTTTTGTACGTAAGACCACATTCTAGAATACCGATCAGAAGGCGGGCACCATTTATTTTTTTCAAGGTAAATTTATAGTTGGACATAGTTAATAATACATACACATAATGTACAAGAAAAAAAGAAAAACATTTAATTCAAAAAATGTAATTTAACATATAAAAATTATTAATATTCTTGTGTAAAATATGTAATTATTAAACAATGCATACAAAATCTACAAAGTATAAAAATTCTTTATAAAAAATATAAATCTCAAAGTCAATGTGATTTTTGGCATTGCATTTCATTGGCCATTGCTTCGTAATTAGGAGAATATGATGATATTCCTGCTCGTAAGGTGTTCATCGTCAAGGTGTTCATCTGTTAGTCGTGATCTGTAGTTTGATTTTATGATATTCATTGTCGAAAACAATGATTCACACAAGTATGTGGAACCGAAAAACGACTTTATTTTATATGCTGCTCTTTTCAAGAATGGAAATTTGTTTCTTTCAACTATATTCCAGAAATTCTCATCTGATATAAAGGATTTTAGGACAATGTCATTCTGAAGATCCAAAATTTCTATCTCCAGTTCTTCTGTCCTTACTTGAACAAGCTCTGAAATATATGTAGCTAGTTCAGTTACATTTACTTGGTAAGTAAAAGGATTGACAAAAAAGGTGACAATTGGCTCGATGATATTAAATTGTTGAAAGCGCTTTTCAAACTGGTCTTGAAGTAACTGAAGGTTGATAACGAATGTTGATAAGTCAATTTCACCATCGCCTATTATTTTTTTCATATTTGGAAAATGCACAAGGGACTTCATCTTCAGATGTGATATCCACAAAACCAATTTAGCTTTAAATGAGTTTATAGACCCTCTCATTGTAGCTATATGTTTGTCCTTCCCCTGCAGCTCTAAGTTTAAATAATTCAGTTTTTCCATTATGTCTGTGAAAAAAGCCAATTCCGCTAGCCAACAAGGGTCTGTTAGTTCAAAAAAATTTTGGTGTTTGGCATTGAGATAATTTTTTATTTCTTCAATTAAATTTACAAATCTAGCAAGAACTTTGCCTTTACTGAGCCAACATACTTCAGTATGCAAAATGAGATCAGGATCTTCAGGATTTTCCAATAGGGCCTTGAAAAGGCGGTGTTGCAAAGGAGCTGCGCGAATTAAGTTGACTATTTTTGTAATTATTTTCATGACGTGTCCGAAGGGTAGTATTTTACCACACAAAACTTCCTGGTGGATAATACAGTGATACGACATAAAATTTGGAAATGATTTATCTTTTATGCAGAGGGCAATAAATCCATTGACATTACCAACCATTGCTGGTGCTCCGTCAGTGGTTATCGCAGACAACTTCTGGAGAGGCATATCTATCGACTTTGCATATGTTATAAATATTTTATAGATATCCTCACCTGTTGTTCGTCCTTTCATGGGTAATATTTTTAGTAGATCTTTTTTTACAGTAAAGTCACCAAATACCATTCTCACCATAACTGCTAACTGTGCTGTGTCTGATATGTCGGTAGACTCGTCAAATTGAAGTGAGAACCACTCACATATTTCCAAATCACTCTTTAACTGAGTTTGCATATCCTTTGAAATGGCTTGTATTCTTCTTGTAACGGTGTTATCTGACAACTGTAAATCTTGTATTGCTGACATAATCTCACGTTTGTTAGAAAATCCCTCAAATAAGCAATCAGCACCAGTAAGAAATGCTTCCTTTAACAACTCACCATCCTGGAAAGGCTTTTTCTTCTTTGCGAGTATGTGAGAAATTTTTAAAGAAGCAATAGTAGCATTTTTAGATCTTAACGCAGGCCTAGTGAAAACTGACTGTTGAGCAAACAGATTTGATTTTAGTTGATCTATTTTCTTCTTTCTTATTTCAGATTTAAGTGGATAGTTCGTATTAAAAGTAGCATGAATTGTCAGGAAATGACGTTCAACGTTATGTTTTTTCGGCACCGTGATGCTATTTCCACACAACAAACAAATACATTTGTCTTTTAAATTGACGAAGCAATATAAATCCTCCCATTCAGTATTAAAATTATAGGTCCATTGTCTTTTACTTGATCCACTCATTTTGGGGTAAAAATAAGGAAGTATTTAAAAACAATGAAAGAGGAAACACAGTATACAAAAAATATGAGCATATAATTATGAATAAGTAATAAAGTAGATACCTCGAATGAACATTTTTACCTCACAGCACAAACCACACTACTGTCTAGCTCTCATGAGACAAATGTCTTTGTTGTCACAACAACCATAAAAATGGAATAGTTTATTTTATTTTAGGTATGGGTAATTAGGTTAAAGAAGATTTGGCAAAAGGGAAAAAAAGAGATCAGTTGCATTTCGCTTTGTTCTTTTATCTGTGTTGGATGCCATTTCTACTTTTGTGTGGATAATCATTAAAAATAAGAAAACTTTTACATAACATTTTATTGAAAACTGAAATATTTTTATCCTGGTCGCACAGCGGCGGGCACATGTAAAACGATCGGCGGGCACTATGGTGCCCGCGGGCATAGGGTTGGAGACCCCTGGTGTAGGGCATGCTCACCGGAACAAAAAAGTCAAAGACACGTCGGCCTTGGCGCGATATGAAATTATATAATTTATGCAACATGTAGGTGTGGTTCCTCTTTGTAGAGATATGATTCCTGATGAAACCAGTTACAATTGTATCAGGTTTGCATATTTTTGTGCCGTTCTTTGATAAAGAGTAGAATAACTTTAATTTATATTCGTTTTTATACTGTAATATTGATAAAAAGCAGTATGAAACAATTTGTAATTACTTGAAGTTTATAGCGTTTATGTAACCTGCTCATTGTTTTAATTTTCTATTGCGTTAATATAAAAAGAAACATAATTTAAAATGTTCAAACGGTTAATTTGAAACAATAAAATGCTCGAATATTCCGTTATGACATTCTGATAATAGACGCTGAGACGTCCAGAAACGTTTGATTGATTAAATTAATTTGTTGGTGTAATTTAAATATTTTTGTCTTTTAGATTAAACAGCAATTCTTGAAATGAATACACTATATACGGTATATACAAATATAATTTCTGAGTTATCATATATACATACAAAGTATTATAATACTATTTTGTAATATTTTTATAATATGTGTTATTATCTTTTATAAAATATATAAAATGTGTCTGTGTATTTTTTCTGTTTAAATCAATTAAAATGAAATTTACCATGTTATAAAGGAAGAACGTAAAATTTTTTAAATTTGCGTTTTTCATAAATATAAAAGTATGAAAAATATAGAAAATCCTGCTATATAGTATATTCTATATTTTAAAAAATGCAGGAAAGCGTTGCATAACTTTTCCGGCTGTTATCAAATTGTATTTTAAAAAATAACTTTTATACTATTAATCGTAATAACTAAAAATGTTTGTGGCGCTATCTTTTATGAGATTTTACTTTAAAACTTTTAATATTACGAATTATTATACAATGGTAAAACGCTTAATTTTCGGGGTAGAGATAACTTTTTATAAAAAGAATTGTAAATTATAATTACGATTTTACTCGTAATTATAATTTACGATTATTACAGACCCTTCTGTATCCCACTCGCTTGACATTTACCACCAAAATTTAGTAACATCAATGCCCTAACAAGCTACTGTGCCAATTTTTGTTCCTTAATCGTTACCCCATTCTGAAATATTAAACGAAAATAGATGCCAATAGACACATCTAGCGAATTTTTGCTGTTATTTTTGTTAATTTTTGGGTTCAAAAGGTCTGAAAACAATTTGCTAAAGGAAAAAAAAAACCTCGAACGGTCAAATTCGACACGACTACAATAATTTCCCTTGTTATATAGGGTATACATAGCAGCTGGAAAGTAAACATTACATAAGTACTGTACATATACTATAACATATTAAACTTGTATGTATTTTTATACTTTATGATATGTATATTTATGATGTATTTTTATACTTTATGATACTTTATGACTTACTGATGTACTATGATACAAAAATTATTTAAAAATCTAATTAAAACATTTTTCAAAAATATAATTCATTTCTATTGTTGTGTGACAACATAAAAAAAAATTAATTTAATTTTATGAATTTTTTAAATAGAATATTGAATGTACAGTATCTCTATCTGAGGTGTGTGTCCTTGTATTAAGGTAAGCGTGTCCAGTTCTGCAATCTTTATTATAAATCAATCAAAACATTTAAATACTTCGTAATTAAGATTTCGACCCTCGATATATCTCTAGATTTTTTATCATTTGATAAATTTACACTAGCCTTGAATTTTTAATTGCTGTTATCTTTTAATAACAAATACATAAATTATTAAGTAGTTTACATTTTCGTATTAATTTAAAAATAAACGAATTTTACAATTAAAGTCAGATCCAGCAGTGAGAAATAATTAACAAATTTTCGTAACTATTTTACGCTGGCTGAGAAATCATCAGAAACGTTAACATACATCTTACAGGTTATTTTCAGGTGTAATACTGTACTGTACATAAAATAGGCTTTATTCAAATAGAATATACATTTCGGATATTATACCCCTCTTCAGTTCTGTTTACGGTGTATCTGGTAGTATAAAATATAGACTCAAAATTACGCTATTTTTAGAGATTTACACATTCAGAATGACAATACGGTATAATAATATATTTTTTTTTAATTAAAGGGGTATTAAAACATGTCAAACTCTCGCAACCAATTTAGTTTTATGTAATTAATATTACCTTCTTAACGACGACCCAACACTAAAAAAAAAAATAAATTAGAAACATTGATTAAAAACTTATATAAAGATAAAAATATCAAAAGGTGTGTAGGTTCAAAACTCGCGGAAATCTGTACGTTAAAAGTTAATAAAATAATTAAAAATATTCATTTTACAATAGATATGTAAATGATTATTTTATTAAACCTTGCAATATAAAAAATAGTTATAAATTTTTATTCTAATACTCCTATTTACATAAAAAAAAGAACATATTTCGCATGTATCTAAACAAAATTAAAACGAGAACTACTTGTATAGATATATAAAAAATTTGAAATAAATAACTTATATTATACTTTCCTGTTAAATAACTATCCACATGAATTAATTGTCAAGTGGCTATATCATCACAGTATGTGAAAAAAAGAGGGAAAAACAAATAAGATAAATTCTTCTGTAATATAAAATATGCAAAGAATAGTAAAACCTTTTAACATATTATTAGCTCCGTTATTAACTCTGCTGTTGCTATTTATTGCACTGTTAAGGGCTGCGAACAAGTAATAAAAATTTGAAAATTTGAAGAAAGAAAATAATTGTATTAAAAGAAAACTACGCTAAATAATAAAAGTTCCTTTAAATAATAGAATAAATTTAAACACCCGCTTACAGTTTGACGACACACGGTAACTGTCAACACTACCGGAATAAAACGGGTCAATGTAAATGTCCTCCTTTCTAGGTTATTTATTTACGTCAACATTACGAAGAATATATGCCTGAACTTACCTCTCAGTCTTGTTGTGTCACATTCTTCCTACTTTATATATGGAAGGTTTTTAACTACCACTCTGTTGTATCTTTCTAACATGAGTATATGGGAAAGCACGATGTCATTTCGAAATGTTCTGGTTAGCAAAAACTTTCGGTTTAAATATCAGGTAATTATCATATGAAAAGACCATACTATTTTAATGATAAATGTCTATATTTTCTACTACCAGATACGCTGTAAACACAGCTAAAGAGGGGTGTAATATCCGAAACGTATATTGTACTTGAATCAAGCCTATTTTACGCCATTCATTTTTTATTCCTGTATGATAAGTCAGTTATATAAATGTTATGCTTACATAAAAGATTTTAATGTTTATTTAGTTTTTCTTAAATTACAAAGGTGAATGTTATGTTGGGGAGATTTCTGATAACCCTAGATAAACACCCAAAATATGTATCAAATTAAAGGTTATGACCTAAAGAAAACAATTGCATCAGTTTCGAGTCGAGGAACTGGAGGAACAGTTAGAAAATACTTGTTTTTTCTTCCATTGATCGATTGATTTTTGCATTTAACTTGTAAAAACGTATAATAAATTCACTAAACGTAGGTATTAAGTATCATTTATTTAATTCTCTTAACTAAGTAGGAGCAAAAGTAGTGCAATTGAATACAAAAAGATTCAGAGAATTTCAAAAGGATGAGAAGAGAGATTACAGTTGTAAGAGAGCATCACGTTGTCCTCATTTATTAGAAATAGTTTGCGTAAGTACAGATGTAATGCAATCCACGAAAATATACTTGTTTTTTTCGATTTGAAACTAGTGTCATTGAGATCTTATCGTCATAATCTTTAATCAGATATAACCTGGACTTTGGGCACTGCAAGGAGGTTTGACACTGAACCTTTAGTATAATTATTCGTATTACTTATACTAAAAAATTAAAAGAGATTACATCTGAATGCGTTATAAAAACAAGTTATCAGCAATGTCACATGAAAGTGAATATTATTAACATAACAGCATACATGATAAGTTATTATTATTAATAACTTATCATGTATGCTGATATGTTAATAATAATAATAATAATGATAAGTTATTATTATTTTTATTATTATTTATCATCATCATTATTATTATTAAGAATTAATATTATTACGAAGTTATTATTATTAGGAATATTATTAAGATTTAGAGTTATTTAGTGTCCTTGCTGCAGGCCTTTTCTAATATCTGGAATTTTTTAAAGTGAAATTGCGTGGGAAAAATTAACGAAATTAACTAAATAAAATAATCCTAGTTAAGGAATTTTTAGAAAATAATGTAAACAATGTAATTTTCAGCATATTAAGGAGATATTAGCGTATAAATATGTAAATGAGCTGCTGCTTGATATCCATCATCATGAAAAAGCTTTCCAATGAGAAGCAACTGCGTATTGTTCACCTGCTAAAGAAAGGTTTTTCTGTTGAGAAAACAGCATTAGAGGTTGGTGTTGGGCGTTGGAGTGTACCAGAATAAAAATAATTAACTACCATATCACGAAAATTTAAGAGTTGAAGGAAGAAAACGTTGAGTGCCAAAACAGAAACGTTTGATAACGAATAGATACATCATCACAGTAAAGAGGGAAGTGTAACATGGCTAATTTTTTTTCTCTCTCAA